ACAAGTACAACGTTCTGGAATGGCCATCCTGAGATGGCCATTCCAGAACGCCCAGATCTGAATATTATTGAAAATCTGTGGTGTCACTTAAAGAGAGCTGTCCATGCTGGAAACCATCAAACCTGAATGAATAGAGATGTTTTGTTAAGAAGAGTGGTCTAAAATACCTTCAGCCACAATCCAGACTCTCATTACAAGCTATGGGAAGCATTTAGAGGCTGTTATTTCTGTGAAAGGAGGATCTACTAAATATTGAGTTAATGTTTTTTTATTTATTTTTTGTGCCCAAATTTATGCACCTGCCTAATTTTGTTTAACTAGTTATTGCACACTTTCTGTAAATCATATCAACTTCATTTCACTTCACAAATATCACTGTGTTTGTCCCCTATATGATTTATTTTACTGATTTTTTTATCCAAACAATAAATGATTTATAAAGGTAAATTAGGAACATTAACAAGGCTGCCCAAACTTTCACACCCCACTGTATGATCAAATGTACTGACAAGCATTTCTATCAAATCAAAAATAATGGTTGTCAATATCAAACTGAGATTCATTAGCTGTGTCTCCATGCAGTGGTTGCAGCCCAYGTAGGCCTTCCCTGTAGGATCTATAAACAGCTGTGAAGTGAGATAGTCTAGTCCACATATGACGTATGTTTGCATGACCACGGGCTGCCCTGTTACCATGGAGTTATGATTTTTATCACATACTTTCAGTTGGAAACATGTATTCACGTCCACACAAAATTMAGTATTATTAAAAAAAACATTACAAGTAAATAAATCAAAACAATAATTTGGGTTTAGCTTCCAGTATCAGTGCTGATAATTGGATTTTATTTAACCTCTCATTGCAGCAAAATATTACCAAGTTGCTAAACTTAGCTATATCTTTAGTCTGTAGCTGTGTTTCCATTGACCATGAAAACACGCAAATTAGAATTTCGAAAATAAATATGCTTAAAGTGTATCTTACCCCCCCCCCTCCCCCCCTGAAAAGATAACTCCGCCCCAAGGCGAAATTTGAAAAATGCATCAAAGTGGGTAGGGGAGGGGGTGTGGGTAGGGGAAGGGGGGTTAGAGAGCGGAGGTGTGGCCAGGATGAGAGGACGTGACAGCCTCGGCTGAGCTGTCCGCCTCACAGGACAGAGGAGTGGAGGCTCCGCGACAGCCTGACATAAAAAAATAAAACCCTACAGCTGCAGCTGCTCACAAGATCACTAGTTTAAATCAAGGTGTTGGGTCTTGTTTGACTGAAGTTCGGTCCGTTAGGGCTGCAGCTGCCCCGCTGTGTTTCTGCCTTTTTTTCCTCCTCCACTC